GGCGGATCTGGAGGTCCTTTTGGACTACTCGGGTCCGCTTATTGTGGCAGGGGACTTCAACTGCAAACATCGAGCATGGAATTCTAGGTTGGATTCCACTAGTGGGATTCGATTGTACAACCATGTGATGCGAAATGGGTACCTTATATGAGTACATGTGAAGAGCCGACACATCATATATTCAACCATCTTCAGGCACCAGATGTCATTGACTTCGCGATATCTAAAAACTGTAGATACAGTATCTCTTCTCGAATCTTTTATGATATCTCTAGTGATCATCTACCTGTTGTCTTGGATGTGGGCGATGAGCAAACTTCTGAGGAGGAAGCCCTTCCAAGGAAACGTATTGAATGGGAGCTATACAAGCTGCTCCTTAGAGAGTTTCCCAATATCCCGATCATAGATGAGTGGACAAGTTTCATTCAAACAGCTCTACAGCGTGCAGCTGTACAACGACACGGCAGACCTTTTTTACCTGCGGACATTTGTCAGAAAATCTATGACAAAAGAGCCGCTATTGAGCAGGCAAAAAGGTCTTGTCATCCTGATGACATTCCTAGGGCTACAAATCTTGTACATGAAGTGAGAAACGCACTACACGAATTCCGTAACGAGCAATGGAGCGACTTTCTGGCGGGAATGCTTGATTCAAGTATTCCCCTCTGGATGGTAGCAAAGTCACTCAGAAACGCAATGCGAGAACAGCTCCCGCACGTCCACGGTCCTGAAGGCAAGTCTTCCTATGTAGAAAACAAGCCAATGAAGAGCGAAATACACTGTTCGCGCTTTTTTTAGTTTTTTTAATTATCAATTTGCATTTATTCAAATATCTTATTTTTAGCAGTTTATGTAACGCAAAACAGTTTAACAGTACTGAATTCGCAAATTAAAATTGTATAAGGGTATCGGTATCACTTTCAAATTTCTTGCAAGTACGCTTACCTTGCATTATTACTTGCACGTTCCCACATCCCACATTCTGTATAGGCAAGTCGGGAAGAAAGCCCCTCTCTGTCTGTTATAATACAGTACTTAAATGGACATAAAAACGGTCTACTTGAAGTATTACGGATTTACATGGTGATTTATCTAAACACGGCAAATTTTTAAGATCGCATATCCCAGGCAGTATTAAACAGATTTCGTTGAGATTTTGAACGCCAACAAAGTAGGTGTTACGTAAAGGCAGATAGACGGTTAAAAAATGCAGGGACGTTTTTCACTTTTTTGATTTTGATCAGAATCATTTCTGAAATGTTTGACTATGTACAAAAAGCCAATGAATAGCGCTAACTGATTAGCAAAATATATTGTGTTAGCGAGGGTGTTGTGCTAGCGATTTACGGAAAGTGAACTGTAACCCGAACTTGGATTTTAGCGGATTTAATTTGAAGAAAAAAGACTAACAGTAAACGGTTTAAATAACAATGAAAAAATAAATCAAATTCCTTCTGTACCTCAGCGTTTCTCAACCTTTCACCGCGAGTCAATTTTAAATAATTATTTTCACCGCCCTCCCTCCTTACACAATAACAGTACAACCTTAATTACAAATCCTACAACTTACCGAAAATAAGTAAATTTATAGATATTTGGCATCGCCGAATCGGGAATAAATGCTAGTAGTAAGTATTATTATTTTTTACAATTAATATTACTAAACTTATTTTTAATTTAGTATTGATAAAAACAGTCCAGTTTATAAGTGTACCTACTATATTAGTGTTAATGCGTATTTTATTTTTGATCTTGTTAGAATTTTGTTTTTCTTCCCTTTTAGTAAATTATTCAATGTTGTTAGTGTTTTTTCTGATATGCCATCTTGGATTTTTGCACAGAGGAATAGAGGTTTTAATTCTAATTCCAAAAATGTATAATAAATCATACATTGATGTTGCCAAACCTGACGATGTTTCTCCATTGCTAAGTCATAAACCTGATCGTAAATGTATATTTTTTATTTTATTTTATTCATATATTTTTCAACAGATACAAGATCCAATTACAAAGAAACACTGTACAAGTGTTGAAAAGCAATAGTCACACATACAAAAAAATAGTATCAAAATTATATATTTCTGAACGTTTATTTTACTCCTAAAATAGATAAAGAATAAGATTAAAAGGTACTGGAAAGCTGAAAATAGTTTACGTCACTGAACAGTTTTTAAATATGACAATACCTTTCTTTTATATAATTATATGTTCGCTCATATCAAAGTCAAAGAGATGACTAACCTCGTTAAAGCATTCCAACATTCTGTATGAAGGGGATGCTGGCATAATATATTTGTTGAAGCTTATGGAAGATAAAACCCGGTGTAGTTCCTACTATTCAACCTAGGCAAGTGATCTGAAAGGTCCTTCTTTGGATAGTTGAATGGAGGATATGCAGCATGTGCTTTTAAATACAGATATTTTAAAAATTTAGTTTGAATCTTTTCGACTGTAGATGTAACATATAAAGGAGGCCAGATGATACAACCATATTCAAGTGAGCTTCTAACTAAAGTGAAATACAGTACTATACAGGACTATTTGATTCAAGTGTCTTGAATATGACAGATCCGCAGTAATAGTAATGTGGTCTTTCGCTTACTGTACTCTGTCAAGTTTGTGACTGTTCAGCATATAATGATATGGTATAATAGACTGTTTCCTGGTAATGTACATTATTTTACATTTGCCGTTCAAGTATTACGTAAGCAGATTTATTACAATTATTTATCCCCCCATCCCCCTTGTCAGCAAAAGTAAGCAAAGCTCTTACCCCCCCCCCATGCTTACGTAAACATTTGTCAATTAATGTATTGTTTTTTTTAATATTATAATTATAACGTTATAATTATAATTTGAAAAATAAGAAAATAGATTTAGGATAGAGATTATATTTTACTGATCCGGTATTCAACATAGAGTAAAGGACAAAAATCTTATATCTTACTAACATAACAAACTTATTTTAAATTTTTGGTACATATATTAAATTCAAATTAACAGTCTTCAGTCCATGAAACCCGAATCCATGATTCTAAGTTTTCGATGACATTGCATTGCTTCGATTGCTGCTCAGTGTTGTGAGTTTGCTCGCTTTCATCGGATTTTGGAATCTCTACGTCGTTCTCATCGAGCCATTGAACATCATGGTGCTCTAAATTTTGAGTAATGTACATCAGTTCATTAGCACGACGAGCAGCGACTCTTACAGGTCTAACTTTCCTATCAGTGTGCGTCGGACAAAAATAATCGTAGGGCATTTGCAGGAAATCTTTGAGTGAAGCACCTAAGCGTAGAGCTAAATTGACTGGAAGATTAAGAAATTGCCCTCCTTCATCCAAAACCAAGTCATCAACTGTTTGTTTTACTTTTACAGGTGGTGGAAGAAACCTATTGTCTAGTAAGTTCTTGGACGACAGCATTCTGTATTTCTACATTTTACAATTCGAAGCAAGTATTGGCTCTCACGCACATGTTCTGAATACCATTTACTGTCTGGAAAATCAGGAAGATCTTGTTCACCTGCCCCAACATATTTTGCATTAACATTATAGCCATCAATTTCCATTGAACTCCATACTTCATCTAATACATTTCCTGCAAATTAGAAATTAGATCTTTCTAAATGTTCATCAATTGTAACGCCACGTTCATCCAAATGAGACCCAAAATGGTCATGAGGCAATATTAAACCAGCCAGTTCCCGACTAAGAGGAGCCATTCTGCGCTCTACTCTGTTATACGGACTCAACCGTCATGATTGCCACTGGTTTTACTAGTCCATGGTCAGTTTTAGCTAATGGTCGAAACTCTTCAAGTTCGAGAAGCGTCTCGAAATCCTGAGCATGAGTATTAGCAGTAGATGAACTATGCTTTCCACTTTGAATAGCGATATATGTTGGTCCGAATATCCAACGGCTTGCGGTTGTCCTAGCATATTGGAAGTGATTTTGATACCAGCATAAACACATAGTATTAATTTATGACGCTCAGCGATTACCCAATCGTGATCAGGCAATTTGATTCTATATTCCATGTGCATTAGAAGAGGTGCTTGCTTATTTGCCGCAGTTACGCCAATAGGGACTCGAGCTTTATCATCTTGAGATATGAAAAATACTTGATCTGGTCCAACTATGTTCTCTAAATAATGGATTGATGTTTCAGCGAACTTGCTATCTAAGTGGCTCTTGTGGTGATCAGTTTGAGCCCGAATGAGCTTAACAGGGACTGTCGATACATGCCTTCGTCCCTCTGCAGAATTAGATTTTCTGGGAATCAAACGAAGATATGTCCCACTGCAACTAATGTCAAATCTTATTTTACGTAATTCTTGTGTGAGTTCATCAAGAGTTTTTACGCTGCGAATTGATTCCGTTCGTCTTCTGTCATCTGCTGCACTCCCAAATAAAGCTATATCCGCGATTGTTTTCAATAGTGAATGTTGATGGCTTTCAAGATTAGGACGTCCCACTGAGTCCCTCAGAGATAGTCTTTTTTCTTTCTGGATTTTCATGACAAATATCTTCTAACTTTCTTTTCATACCATCCCTGTGTTTCTTCTGAGCAACTTCGTTTTGAACTTTCCTGTTTAAAGACTGTTTTGCTGTTTTTATTTCCTCGCGCAACCTAATGATCTGTTTATCAACTTCAGCACGGCTTCGCATAGTATCTCTGGCAGAATACAAAGCATTTAGATTTTTTTCGAGTAGAGTAATCTTATTTTTCATAGCTTCCTGAGAAGGTTTTGCTCTCTGTTTATCTGTATTTTCATTAATTTCGCATTGCTGTTGTGATTCATTACCGGGTTTTATTTTATCTTCATCCTCTTTTTTAATATTTGGAGCTGACTGTATAATTTGTGCTTTTTCTGTAGGGTTAAATCTAATATGTTTAAACGAGCAATTCGTTCCGGTCACAAAATACAGCGTGTTAGTTTTCTGTATAAATGTAGGGCTATTGGTTGTTTGTCTAGGGGTTTGAAATCACGAGTACGTGGATACAGATAAATAGCCGTCTATTAATTAAATACACGAAATGAAATTAGTGTATACTACGCCGTCTGTGTCTAAGTTCGCGTCTTTTTATGTCCTTCTTGCTCGGCTGCTGAGCACAGACTTGAGACTTCCTTGTCGTCAGGCGACAAAAGGTGAGGCGCTTGCGCGGTTGGCTTCTAGATTGTTCTAGAAGGCTTCCTCCTTCAGTGGCGTCGGTAGCACATAGGCGTCGTCAATCGAGAATCAAGGGTTACGCATTGACGCAAAATAAAAAATATAAAATAACCTTATCCTACATTCGGTCATTCCTGACTAGTAATCCGCCTCGGATTCGCTATCTTCAGGTTCAATCCAACCCCTCATGTACTCAGCACAGGTTGACGTTTTCAATGGTCCTTCGTGGTTACCAATTTTAACTACGTCGTATCGATCTGATTATTTGACCTGTGTGATCTCGTACGGTCCAAGATACTTCCTATGTAACTTAAGACCTGCTCCAAATTGGGTACGTTTTATAGCAGCTACGTCTCCTTTCTGGTATTCTCGTGCTTTCCTTCTTTTTAGATTATACCTTTTCATATTTTCTCCCTGAACCTTGAGTATATTTTTCTTCGCTTCTGCTCTCAATCCTTCTCGATTTTCACAAAACTGTTCAGTCATTTCACTTTCGATTGCTTCCAAAATTCTCGTATCTTCTTTAGTCCTCATCTTGGTTCCTATCAGTATCTCAAACGGAGTAGTACCGATACTTCTCTGGTATGTCGAATTTAACACCATCTGCAATTTTTCAACTTCTTGATACCATTTCATCGGGTCTTCGATACTCAACTTCGTCAAAACAGGGATGATGCTTCTATTTATCCGTTCTACTTGCCCATTTCCTCGGGGTATTTCTGTAGTAGTTTTGATGTGCTCGATATTCTCTTCTCGGCAATAAAATTCAAATTCTTTGGACGTAAAAGCCGTTTCTCTATCTGAGATCATCCTTGAAGGGTTGCCAAAGACTTTCTGTTGACTCTTCAGGCAATCTATGGTCTCCTTTGACGTCGTGGATCTAGTCGGGTATATCCAGACAAACTTGGAAAAATCATCAATTACGATCAACAAATGTTGGTACCTTTTCTTGGTGGATGGTAGCGATCCCAGGTGGTCAATATGGTACGTGTGCAATGGTCCATGTTGCTTGTCAATGGGATGCAGAAAGCCTTCCTGCTTACCTTCTTTCTTGCTTCCCAGTATGCATGGTATGCAGTTTCTGATACAAGCTTCTATCTTCTCTTTCAACTTTGGTATGAAGTATTCGTTCTTCAACAGCTCTTCTGCTTTTCACAGAAAAATGTCCTTTCTCGTGAGCTCTCTTGATTAGCTCTGTTTGCATCGCTTTCGGTACAACTAGAGTTCTTTGTCTTTATCATACTTGTACATAATGTCATGTTTCAGCAAGTAATCTTCATAATCTTCTTCCTTGGCTAGGATTGTCTTTATTGTCTTTCCTTTTTCTTGAGCTAGTCTTATCCTATTCACTATTCCTTCGTCTTCGGTGATCGTCATTACCACTGGATATCGGCTGAGAGCGTCTACGTGTGGCATTCTGTCTCCTCTTCTATGTTCTATGGTGTAGTCATACTCTTCTAACAACAAAGCCCATCTTGCTACTCTTGTTGTCAAATCTTTCGTATTAATTGTCTTTTGAAAAGCGGAACAATCTGTAACAATCTTGAATGTTAGACCTAATAGGTAAATTCTAAACTTCTTGACCGCCTGAATAACAGCCAAAACCTCAAGTTCATAACTGCTATACGTTTCTTCAGCTGGTGTCGTTTTTTTGCTCATGTGGTATACAGGGTGAAACTTCTGGTAATCACTACATTTTTGCATCAAGCATGCTCCGTATCTAAATTTACTGGCATCGGTATGCAATTCTATTTCACAACCTTGCTGGTAAATATGTAGCACTGGTTCCGTCGTCAACCACTTCTTTAACAGCTCAAAAGCGTGTCGTTGTTCATCCTCAAATCTAAAGGGTTGATTCTTCTTCAGAAGATCACTTAATGGTCTAGCGATAGCTGCGTAACCGCATATGAATTTTCTGAAGTATCCTGTCAATCCTAAAAATGATTGGATCTGTCTATGCGTCCTTGGTTCTGGAAACTTCCTGATAGCTCGAGTCTTTTCTTCGGATGGTTGAACTTTCCCGTCTTCTACGATGAACCCTAAAAATTCTACCCTTTCTTCAACAGTTGACACTTTTCCTTTTTGATTTCCAAACCGTAGTCTCTTGCAACTTCTAATACCAACTTTAATTTTTCAATACCTTCTTTCTCGTCAATGCTAGGAACAATGATGCCATCCATGTAATAAACACAAATGCTTTTGTTCACCAGTGGCCGAAAAATGTGACAAACAAATCTTTGAAATACTGCCGGACTGTTACACAATCCGAACAGACATCTTAAGAATTCATATTGTCCATTATGGGTGACGAAACTCGTGTACTTCCTACTGGCTTCTTCTACAGCTACATGAAAGAATCCATTCTTCAAATCGATCGTACTAAATACTTTAGCTCCTTGTAAGTTATCTAGGACGTCTTCTATCAAGGGCAATGGAAATCTGTCCTGTTCAACTTCCGATAGTCGCAGCAAATACGTATTCTTCCATCTTTTTTCTTTACTAACACCAAAGGACTTGAAAAATCTGATGAGCTCGGCCTTATTATTTCTTCTTTCAACCATTGGTCTACCTGCCTTTCTACTTCTTTCTTCTCCGATGTGGCCATTCTTCTTGGTGTTTGGTACACTGACTCTTCGTCTTTCAGAACAATCTTCATTTCTATGTCTGTGGTTTTCATCTTCTCCGGTTGGTAGTTCTGTAAGAGTTCTTCAGCTTCCTTTTTGATTGCTGAATCTCTGATATGCGTCGTGTCTACCTCAAAGTCAGTGGAGTAGTTGTTGAGCGTCATCTTCATCAAAAATGTTGTCTTCGCCTTCTTATAAATAACTATTCCGTCGTCGCTAATGCTGATATCCGCATGCTCTAATAGATTATTTCCAATGATGACCTTGAAACTTGATGTCTTTGTCGGAATAACGTGGAATGTCAACGTAAATTCTTCGCCGTGTATCAGAACATTGGTATAGAATGATCCCAAAGTTTCTACTCTACTGTTACCTAATCCTTTAATCACAATTGCCTCCTTTACTAGGGGAATGTTTTTGATGAAATTTTCATACACGTCACGTCTCATGGTATTGATGTCACTTCCTGTGTCCAACAATGCCTTCATTCCAATTCCTTTAACCTCCACATTCAGCAAATTCTTTCCAGAGGCACGTTTTCTATTGTATTAACTGTCGCCGTGGTGCCTGATTCCCTCATCGTACATTTTGTTCCTAGAAGTCCAAAGTTTCCACATCTGAAACACTTTGCTCCCTTATCCTTGTTAGGACATGCTGCTGATTTGTGTCCCGTGGAACCACAATTGAAACAAACGAGCGCCTTTCGTCTCTCGGGATTTGTCTCAGAATTTCCTTGAGTTCTGGTCCTCCCTTGCTCTCTCTTGTTTTCCTCGTGTTTGCTTTTGAACGGCTGTGTGTGCGTGACACCTCCTAATCTAGCTTTGCATATTTGTTCATACGTCTTCGCTTTCTCTTTAAACTCGGCAAAATTCCTCGCTCCATAAAGAATTACTTTATTTGCAGTCTCGTCTTGGATTCCATCTATAATGTATTGCATGATCTCAGCTGGATCTATGTATGCTCGACTTCCTATCTCTCTCATTGTTAGAATGTACTCCTGTACTGATTCGTCTCGTCTTTTCTTCCTTGTCATCAACATTTTGTGGATTTGTCCACTAGACGTCTTCGTTTCGAATTCTTCTATTAGCTTCCTTTTGGGAGTTGTCCATCTTTGTATACCTGTCTCAGATTGGATATACATCTTGGCAAGACCTCGCAATGACTGCTTTGCAAAAACTAATTTTTGTAGGTCGTTCCAGCCCATTAATTCAGACATCTACTCAAAATCGGATATCCATTTTCTCACAGGATATTCTGATTTTCCATCAAAAGGTCTGATACTGTCTTCGACGTCCTTGAATGTCAGTGAGAAGCTAGGATGGATATTTCGGCTTATACTTGCAACACTTCGCACGTCATCGTGGCTGTCGTCGTCTTCTGAGCTACATTGTCTTCTATCTGGCATCTGATGTTTTCTTCACCATGTCGTCTTTGATCCTGTGGAGCATAATAACGTCTTTCGGCACGTATCGTCTTCCGTCTGTACTGACATACTGTCTTTCGTCTTCTGAACCTTCGTCTTGGTCTTCTATTTCTTCATCTTCTCCATCGTCATTTCTTTCTTCGTCTTCGTCTATCATTTTCAAAATTTATCAAAAATGTGCAAATACGGTCCGCGATTTCATTTTCGGATCCGCAATAATCTAGGTCAAGAATATGGCACACAGAAATTAAATCGCCTAAATTGAGCTTGCTTAGAACTTGATTTAATTTCGATAAATATTCCGGCGTATTTGTAGAGAAATCGAAACCTGTAAAACTCCTTAAACCGGCTCTGACCCGTCTCGGTAACCCTTCATTGTCGTACGCCAAAAAATGCAATGCTTTCGCCGCTTTCAACTTACACTGCGATATATTATATGCAATTTTGTCAATATCACCCGAAGTCATTCTCTTGGAAGCCATTATTTTACCAAACTTGAATATAAATCACAAATAATTAAGCAAATAGACTAAAAAAAGGCAATATCAAATCGAAAATAGTTAAAATAGCAACAGTAAGTCTGCAGCAAAGTAAATAAGTAGGCACTTGCTCGTAAAGGCAATCAGATCGTCAGAAATGCTAAAAAATACTAAATTTTGAAAAAGAACGTAACTCAACCGCTTTACAGTAATGAAAATTATTCACAATACTTCAGTTTATCGAGAATACAAAACATGAAATAAATCATGTAAATATACAAAATATTTTGTCTTCTGGGATTCCTTATGTTTCCAGCGTCAACCAGTAAAAAGAAACGATCCTACCTTGGGTTGAGTGCGTTGATCTTTTACCTCTCTTGCAGTTCTGCCTCTTGTATTTGCCTGTGATAGTCAACAGCGTCAATGTCTTTATCGGC